CACTTTTGGGGATGAGCACTGGGTGTCATATGTAAGAAATGAATCACTGGGTTCTACTCCTGAAGCCAAGACTACACTGTATGTTAACTAACTTGAGAAAAAAAAAAGTTATCTACTTGCATGACACTGCACATTTGAAGTATGTGAAAAGGAGCTAACGTTTTTCAAACATAGTAATGGAATACTAGTTTTAGAGAATGAATACATAGGAGCATTGAGTACTTTCATAAAATTTTCTTTGGGGGATTTATCTAAATAGCAACAATAAAATATATCAGAAAATTTTGACACATTTTATGGTTGGATTTTGTTCATACTCTGAAAATTGATTCAGGTACCCTGCCAAGTAAACTGAATTCCATAAGGGCACAACTGTACCTTATGGCTGAAGTGTATAGCAAGCACTCATTAAATGTATAAATGGATTAAAATAATTAAAAAAATTTTTTTTAATGCTTATTTTTGAGAGAGACAGGGCGTGATCAGGGGAGGGGCAGAGAGAGAGGGAGACACAGAATCTGAAGCAGGCTCATGGCTCTGAGCTGTCCACAGAGAGCCCAACGTGGGGCTTGAACTCACGGACTGTGAGATCATGACCTGAGCCGAAGTCAGATGCTGAACCGACTGAGCCACCCAGCACCCCTGAAATAATTTATTACTAGATCAACTAAGACCTACTAAAATTTATTACTAGAATTTGGTTTAGTTCTTACTACTTTTTGGGTAGCATTGTCACATCAGATAATCTCAAAGGTAAAAATGTAGCCAGGGAGACTTAGTTATTTTCATAAGGTGGCATAATTTTTTATGTGGTGAAAGTAGAACGGTGAAATCTTTTACTCTAATAACAATTACCAATCTGATCCCCTCCTCAAGTCATCCTACATACTTTTCTTCCTTGACTTTTTTGGTACAAAATTTAAAATCTTCAAAGAAGTTGAAAGAACAGTATAATCAATACTCATACTTTTCAGTTTGATTTACCAATTGTTGACATCTTACCACATTTATTTAGCCTTTTGAAAGATGTATAACACATAGGTTTACATGACAGTGTACTTCTACTAAAGTACTATTATCACACACAACATATATACAAATACATACGCGAATGAAGGCAAACACTCCAAATTTCTAAATTTGTTGGTTGATGTCCCATCAGAGGACAACTCTTCTAATAGAGAAAAAGGAGGTGTACCTGAATATGCCTTCCAGGGCAATGATAATGGTATATAGGTGTCTTTTATCTCTGTAGAGATATTTTTTCCTCTCTAGTCACTGCTCTTGTGTGGCTTGTTTGAACAAATCATCTGCTTGTCTACCACTCACTGCTTACATTTATTCTAGTTTCTGCTGACTTCTGTAATCTGCTTCTTGTGTTATCTGTTCATTCCCTCCTCTTAGCTCCTCTTCCTAATTTTCCGTTTCCCATAGCTTTACCTGTGTCCTGCTTTTATGAGAAAAATGGCAATCCTACAAAAGACATTGGTCAACTTACCAACCTAAAAAGAAGAGACAATCTGATTGGCTGACAATGATAATATTTGTTTGATTTTGTTACTGAAACAAACAAAAAACCCTTAGGATACTTCTGGTTATAAAAGTAATACCTATGCATTGTGTTAAATTTAGAGGATATAGAAGATAGAAATTATACATAAACTGGTTACTTTTATGGCACGTTCCTATATTTTAAAGTTATTTTTATTTTTTGGTCTGTGAATATATACCTTCAGAAACAAAGGTTTTTCTTTTCCTTTTCTTTTCCTTCTTATGACTGCTCATACATATGACATGCTTCTTCCTCTTGTCAGTCAGCGAGACTTCTGAATTTCAGTTTCAGCTGCTCTGAAGAATGACTGCCTATTCCATCATTCATTCATTCAACAAACCTTTATTGAACACCTTCTACACGTTAGACACTGTCCTGTTTTACCACATAGAATATGCTTTACTTGAGATATTCTTTTTTTTTTAATATTTTTTTTATGTTTATTTATTTTTGAGAGTGAAAGTGAGAGAGAGCATGAGCCGGGGAGGAGCAGAGAGAGAGGGAGACACAGAATCTGAAGCAGGCTTCAGGCTCTGAAGCACAGAGCCCGATGTGGGACTCGAACCCATGAACCATGAGATCATGACCTGAGGCAAAGTCAGACACTTAGACGACTGAGCCACCCAGTCACCCTACTTGAGATGTTCTTAAATATACCTTATAAATTTTTGAATAACCATCTGGGGGGGGGGGAGGGTTTGCATTTTTTTAGATTTAATCTTCAAAAAAAATCTGTGGGTGCCAGAGTGACTCAGTTGGCTGAGCGTCCGACTCGATTTCGACTGAGGTCATGATCTCAGGGTCAATGGGATCAAGCCCTGTGTTGGGCTCCACACTGGGCATGGAACTTGCTTGGGATTCTCTCTCTCTCTCCTTCTGTCCCTCTCCCCTGTTTGCACTCTCTCTTAAAAAAAAAAAAAAATCTATTGAGCTCAGTGATGACTCTGTTTTACAGATGGTGAAAGACAAATAAATGGATGATCCTAAGTTATATTGCTGGTAAATAGCAGATTTGGGATTTAAATTTATATCATTTGATTCCAAACCAAGGGACTTTTTTCTATGCTTTTGTCAGCATTGTTTAGATTTTCAATTCTTTTAAAAATAATAAAGATTTGGGAAGCTACAGTACAAGATATTGGTTAAAAATGCAGATTTTTGCCCATATCATACAGACTCAGGTTCTGGTTTCCTGTTTACTATGTTACCTTGTACAAGTAGCTTAACCTCTTTGTACTTGTTTCTTCATCAGTCAAATGGGAATAATAACCCGCATAGTTGTCATGAGAATCAAAAGTGTATGTATCTATAGAGAGAGACTAGATAGCTATAGCTTTTACTTAACAGTTTTACAGTATTTAAAAATTGTCATTTTTAGGTCAATGATTTTCCAAGTTTCTATTTGAATTTTATTTCAGTGCTGCAGGTGGAGAAATTTTCAACTTGTGTTTACCTGAGCTGGCTGAAATGGTTTCTGAAAATGACATTATCAGACTCATTAAGCAAATACTTGAAGGAGTATGTTATCTACATCAGAATAACATTGTACATCTTGATTTAAAGGTAATGTACCATATGATTTTAAGTAATACAGCATCTTTTTTCGTTCTGCTCTTGGGATGCATAATTGCAAGCTGGATTTGGTAGGAAGCAACAGTCAGATTATGACTCTGTACTGCACTGGGTGCACTTGTGTATGTGTGCTACATGGACTTAATTTTGTATTGGCAGAGAGGAGAGGACTGCATGTGCGAGCAGATCAAATTAATCACTGGGCTCTTAAAAACCATCATTCCTCCCTGTTCTAATTCTTCAATCATTGTACACCATCCCACTCTTACATCCTGGGCTTCTCATCTTGTAAAACTGCCCCATCTCTAAAATACTCTAGTCTAATCTCCATCTCTGAAGATAACCTCCTTCTAGTGCTCGTTTCTTTGCTCCCATTATATTCATTCATTTTTCCCTTGAGATGTTTAGTCTTTTGGCTCCTCCATTTTTGCCCCCCAGACGATTCAGTCCCCTTACTCAAGCCCTGAAATACCATTTTAAACTCTTACGTTATTATCCTTTCTCTTTATCTTTCCTCCACAGCCACCCAAAATCTCAATCAATCTGTGTCTTATTTTTTGAACATTGGATTCTTCTCTTTCTATATTGTCTCCCTTTGCATGATCCTTTGCCCTTCACTACCACTTTCACCATAATGATGATTCCCAGTTCTCTTTCCTATAGCCCAGACTTCTCTCCTAAATTCCAAATTATTTTTTTCAACTGCAAATTAGGTACCATTTGGGTATCTTGTACAAACTTTGTCTCAAAATTTGTCTCAAACTAAACTTTCTTTCTTTTTCTTACCCCATTTTCAAAAGAAAAAACATGTTTGTCTGTGTTGGGCCCCCCTCTGAAAGAGGGCGGTGTTAAGTACCTAGCAGCCCTGCCATGTCCCCTACCAATAAGATATTGTAAAAACAACAATATGGTACATATCAGGACGATCATGCCCCCACAAACTTCCTGTTGGGTCTTTCTCCTGCTAAGGATAAACCAAGTGTATTACGTAACACCACACAGCACTTGAGGTTGGGGATGGGAAATAAACCTGGCTTTGTATATCCTAAAGCCTGTGGTTGACAACAGTAGATCTAATTACCCTTACCTCTTCTCCTTTAATGTCTCTGTGATTTAATAATAAACAAGCGTTGGGTTTTCCTGAAGTTAGACTTAGAATTCTTCTCACAGACTTTGGGAACAGCACCTTGGCAACTATTTGGGTTATGACTGTGGCAAGGAATTTTGTAATAGACTTCAGCAAAGTCTCTTGGTTCTGGGAAGCAATGGGTGACACCTTCCATGCATCAATATATCTTATTGTCTAAGCTAATAGACCCAGGACCATCATACTGAACCATTTTCTGTTTCTGGAAAAGTATACATTTTTTATTCCTTCATACTTTCTTTCATGCTGTTCCCTAGAGTGCCTTTCTAACCGGAATACTCCTATTTATTCTGTAAGGTTCAGTTTAAATATCATCTCTACAGCAAAGGTTTCTTAGACTTTATAATAGGCAGAATTAAGTAATCTTGTGTTTATTATTCAGTTTATCTCATAATCACTCAATCTGTATATTCATCTAACTTTGTTTTCATCCAAACTAAGAATCCTTTGAGTATAATTTTACCTTTATTTATCATTGAGCGTAAAGCTTTTGCTAACTAGTAGTTCAGTAGATGTTTGGTGAATGACTTAATGAAATGTGTAATACTAAACATTTAATTTACTTCCCATCTGAGACTAGTATTCTTTTATTGTTGTATATTACTTACCAATTTTTATTGTGCTTTATTTAGCCACAGAATATATTATTAAGCAGCATATACCCTCTTGGAGATATAAAAATTGTAGATTTTGGAATGTCTCGAAAAATAGGGAATGCATGTGAACTTCGGGAAATTATGGGAACACCAGAATACTTAGGTAAGAACTTCCTTTCATTTTATACACCATTTTGAAGTTTATCAACTAAATGTTATCTCTATAAAGCCATATTTTAGAGCATGTAATTCCAGGATTTATTTGATTCAGGTATTTTAATGCATTGAAATTTGGTTATGACACAATAAATGAACTTTAGTGAATGTAGGACCATTGAGACATTCATAACAATTCACATGACATTGGACATGTAAATTCAGAAGTTAATGTTTGTGTGTAACAGTTTATTACATACAGAAAAATGAGTGAAGGGGAAGTTAGGGAACAGGAGAAAATGGAAAAAAGAGGAAACCAGGCAGTCACATGGCCCAGTCATTTTTACCTTTGAAGCCTGGGTGTTGGATAAATGTCATTTCTACTTCTGTCCTGGTCCCAACTCTGAAGCTGTTTATAAATATACATCATCTTCAGTTTTGCAAGAATTTTTAACAGGACTACTTGCTTTTTGTTGCTGCTGCTTAAAAATGTAAGTTTTGCCTAGGGTTGTAAAAGGAGGGTTTTGAAGAAAAAGGATGTCAAAAAAAGATCCTATGATTAGATAATCTGGGAATATTGTACTATATCAACAAATAAAATCATACAGGTGAAAAAAATTTAAGTTATATGAAGCAGCACATAAATTTAAAGTATTTTAATTTATAAAATTCATCTTTTTGCACTTTTTTGTTGTTGCTTATATTGATACCACCATGCAAGTATTGAAAAGATACAACTACACAGAACAGGTGCGACTCAGCAAGGCAGCTGACTTTCCCCAAATGAAAACAAAACAAATTACTAACTTTTGAATGCAAATAGGGACAATAGTGTCCTAGAATAAATGATTGTAATTATAGATGACACAGCTCACAGAAGTATGTATAGGGTGGTACGTTGTATGATGGACAGACAAATATATGACTCAAAGTCTTTATTAATAAAAATGTTAGGCTTTAGGAAATAATTTTTGTGAAGCAAAGTTATTATTCAAGCATAAATCCTAGTTTGGCCTCTACTAATTTGAAATTTATGATAATCACAAGATATAGAGAATTTATTTTGCACTTAAAAAGTTGGCAGGGAAGGAGATGATGGGAAGTTAATTACATAGGAAATTAGGTTTTTGATAGTCTAATAGGGATATTTAATCTACTTGAAAATGTAAAGCCCTTCCAGAATACATAATTTACTCATAATGTTGTAAATATATATGATTCTCTTTACTCTGAAAAGAAAAACTTAAATCAGTATAATAAAATAACATAAACTAATTCTTAACAGAGTAATCAAACTACAATTTTTAAAAAGATTCCAGTGTCTAAAATTTTACTTCTTCATAATTGTTTTTCCTGAGATTGATTTAATGATTAAAAACATTCCTCCATAGCTACTGGTTATTCCAAGAATATTATTTGTGCTTTTGAACCTTCTGAGTATATATATAATTTGCTCAACAGTAGATATGTTTAAATGTCCAATCACAGGATAATTAATACTATGCTAAATTTCTATCAATTTGATATTATTCTTTAAAATTAAAGCAGTTTTATTATTATTATAATTATATATAATATATATTATAATTTTAAATGTATATACTAAATATATATAATTATTGTAAAATAATTTTCATGTTTTTAAATTTGTCAGTATTGAATTTGAATTTTATCTTTGCTTTCAGCTCCAGAAATCCTGAACTATGATCCTATTACTACAGCAACAGATATGTGGTAAGATTTTGTTAGTTACCTAAATGCTTTCATTAAAAGTTTGGTAGAATATATATTCTGGGTTTCTTTGATTCCAAAGAAATGTAAATAATAAGGCTTTCTATAAAAGATTTTTTTGAAGTATCATTACTGTGCCACAAGAAGGCATTTACCTGTACATTCTTTTTAAGTAATACTTTGGCTCTGAGCCAAAAGTATAGAAATAAATAGGAAGATCCCTTTCCTGAAGGAAGACTCGGTCTAATAAAAAATGAAAACAGTTGCAGTACTGTGTGATATGTTCTGTAATAAGGTAAAATACTTAATGAGCATGGAGGAAACAGTAGACAAGCACCAGATGGGAGATACCTAAGCTAGGTCTAGATGAACTGGAAAGGTATTTGGTATGGAGAAAATGAAGTCAGGTTTGTACAAAAGTTTAGTTTTAGGAGATTATATTTCTAGGGCATTGTGAGTTTCTGTGGCAAGCAAAATCATATTTTGAATATCAGATGTCATAAGGAGTAGAATGGGAATTGATACTAGAACTTTAGCTGGGAACATGGTGGGGGTCTGACTCCATAGTCCAAGTGGAAGAGTTTAGACTTGTTCCCTGTGTTCCATGGAACTGTAATGGGCTTGCCAAGGAACAGAGGTCCTACGGCTAAATAAGTGGGAAACATGCACTGTATGTGTTGTCTTTTTCTGCCTCCTGAGCATCAGACTTCTCGTGAATGTGTTTAAGGCTTTGAAAAGTCTTGGCAATGAAAAAAAATCCACCTATCCAATTTTGTACTTTGCTAAACTTGCAGACTCTGTTTGCACAGAACTTCTGTTTATGTCGCACAGATCATTAATATGTCTTTGGGTACCATTTAGGAAATGCTGCCCTTTGAGCAGCTTTGTGTACTCAATAAGGGTGTCTGAATGAAGGGCAGACTATAGATATCATGCTATATATTTGATACATTATATTTATAATTATGTAACATGTATATTCCCCTTATATTCTTTTTCTGTGAGGCAGACTTTGAGATAACACAGTTATGTTAGTTTTAATAATATAGGAAATTTGAAAAGCAATTTAAAGTCTATAGTTTACAAGTTCTGAGGACAGGAATCTGCCAAGTATCAATTTTACTTTATATAAATGTTTTCAGATTAACATATGTTTTAAATTCCCCTCTTCTCCCTTCTTTGTTTTTCAGGAATATTGGCATAATAGCATATATGTTGTTAACTCATACATCTCCATTTGTGGGAGAAGATAATCAAGAAACATACCTCAATATTTCTCAAGTTAATGTAGATTATTCAGAAGAAACATTTTCATCGGTTTCACAGCTGGCCACAGACTTTATCCAGAGGCTTTTAGTAAAAAATCCAGAGTAAGTTATAACATTAATGTGTTTAAGTACAATTACAAAATGAATCCTATGTCTGTTAAGAAAGATATATTCTAAAACAGTATAAAATTATTAGAAGTAAGCTCTCAAGTTTCAGATAAAATGGGAAGAGAGGTGGTATAAGAGATCATTAAATACCAAATCTATAACTTCAAACATGGTAAATACAAAACATACAGCAGGAAATTTTGGAGTGAAGAGAAGATTTGGGTTATTTCTCTCGCACCCTGCTACTAAACCCTGAAATTCCCTAAAAGAAATAGAAGGTTTACAATACACGTGGCTGGCCGCGATAGACTTTGTTGTGACTAATCTGTAGTCAAGTAATTATAGTTATATGGGAAGTGTAAATTACTGATTGTCAAATGTTTAAGAATCAAATGCTCTTTGACCACCTGCAAAAGAAGGGGATTTGAAACCATGGTTTAGGACTCTTACTTCACTCGTTGGCAACTTCAGAGCAGGAAAAGAAAAAGTTGACCTCCCGTTTCTTTACCCAGAGCAGCCCCATTTACTTTAAAATGCATTGGGCTCGGATCCTGGTTTTGTTGCTGTCAGGTCTTTTATCTCTGACCTTTACTTAATCTCCTGGAGGATTCAGGTTCTTATCAGTTTAAGGAAAAAGAACTCACGGGTTTGCTAATTATTTTATTGGCTTAATGCAAACCCACACAAATTTTCACTGGCCTTGTTTTGGACATAAGTGGTTATTTAATAGTAGTATAGTAGTAAAATTACTTTTTGCTTCTGGTTATTTTCTTAAATAGTTTTTTCCTTAGGTTCTAAAATTTTAAAATGAGCCATTAAGTTTTTAAAATCAAAAAACGAACATAAAAATTTCTATAGTGAGTAAATTAACTTCTTTATGATCAGAAAAAAATGAACATAAAATGATCATAAAAGATGAAGATAAAGACTAAGAAAACATGTTGTAATGGAAATGGTGATTGTGTTAAGGTTGTAGGTCTGACTATAGATAGGTATTTTCCTAACTTTTGAAAAATTGTGATATTTGACCATATTATTTTCAAAAGAGAAAGCAAAATGTAAAAACTCAAAATACTGGATAAACATCACTCAAGAGCAGCCTGTATTTTTGAGGTTTAACAGTATTGCTTTTAAGAACACAGAATAATAGATTATAAATTACATGTTTTCCTTCATAGTTTCATGTCTTTATCTCTTTAACCCAAGGAATTTTATAATTTTACTAATTTTTACTTGCGAGGCTTAACATATGTCCTCAAGCTTTTTGTCTAGTCTTACCTGTAAGCTCCATGATGAATTGAATTTTCAGCACATGTCAATATTAAAGAAACTCTAGGTACTACAATTTTGGTATTGTTATTCCCTCTATACTATGAGTATGTGTTATTTTTATAATAAATTAAAAAAATAAGTCTATGGTGTATCAAACTGCAGATGTTTCCAACTTGATTTTTAGTTCTCCATTTTCACTTGATGCTTTCTTTTCAAAGGAAAAGACCCACAGCAGAAATCTGCCTGTCTCATTCTTGGCTACAGCAGTGGGACTTTGGAAACTTATTTCACCCTGAAGAATCTTCCACTTCCTCTCAAAGTCAGGATCATTCATTAAGGTCCTCTGAAGACAAAACTTCTAAATCCTCTTGTAATGGAACCTGTAGTGATCGAGAAGACAAAGAGAATATTCCAGAGGATAGCAGCATGGTTTCCAAAAGATTTCGCTTTGATAACTCATTGCCCAATCCCCATGAACTTGTTTCAGATTTGCTGTGTTAGCACTTTTCTCTTTGACTTACTGGACTGAATTTGGAATTTGAAATCTACTCCAATGTGAGATTGTGGTTTGTAGCTTCATTTATGGCATGTTTATTTTGTAAATGCACTTTTGCATAGAAGTGTTTTAATGCCAAATTATTAGTAACAGGCATAATTTTGTTTCCTGTTCTGAGATACTAACTCTTCAGAGAAGAAAATATTTAAATATATGACCAAAATAAAGCTATGCATGTGAGTTTACATGTTAATTGAAGAATTCAAGTTCAAATGGATTTATCAAAATATTTTACAGGTGAGGAAAACATTGATTCGGGTTTATATTATGGTTGATATAAAACTGAACAAAACGAAGGCATTTGAATTCAATAGGTTCTATGAGGTAAGTTCTATATACATGCCTCTACTGACAAAATTTTATTAGGATAACAATGTCAAGTTTAAACAAGAATATTTACTATTTTTATAGATGTGGGATATTTTATATTTGAAAATATTTCAATCACAAATATTTTGAAACTGCCTAAGATTTCCAGGATATATGATCTGCTACATGAGACAAGTCCTTTAACCAGAGCAAAGAGGGAAATTAGAAACCCAATTAGGGATATTCTATACAAGTTGGAGGAAAAAAAAAGCAGCATGGTATCATTTTTTTTTTTTTGACTCAAATGTCTTACCCTCTCTCATCATACTTCAGATTTAATAAGGACTGAAAGATGGAGACTTAGATTGTACACAAGTGTACAGGATTTTCATTTTCCAGAATTTGTGAAGTAGAAGATACTTAAGTAAGACTGCATGTACTCTATTTTGGGTGGCCAAACATATTTATTAATTGAGCGTAGAAGAAAATGCTGACTTATTTCAGCAACTTACAGAATTTTAGATGTTTTCTAAGTCTTAGGATATAAGCCAGTCATTCAGAGTTCTAAAAGTGTACATAAAAAAATATCACAGTACCCGTAAGACTGTTAACACAGTGCCAGAGTCCACAACAGCAAGGTGGATGTGATCATAAAACCTGATGACATTATGCTCTTCTAAAGTTCTTAGGTAAAATTCCAGTGAGTGATGAGGCCCAGCAGAGGGCCATCTGCAGGGTGGCCTTATAATGGTCTTTTGTTGGAACCAATGCAAGAGTCTAAGGACAGAAGGGTGGCTGGTGACTGTTTAGTGATAATAAAGGGAAGTTCACTCCTTTTATGGTTATCTTTGATGATTTCGCACCTGGTTACTATCAAAAATTCTGTTATATTATCATGTTAGGATAATTACCTCATGATCATGTTACTATATCAAATTAAATTATATTTTGACAAAAAAAATTCTTGAGTTTTCCCCCCTTGAATTACATATTACTGTAAAGTCTTTAACTTTCTGAAATTTGATAAGACTCCAAATAACTTAAAACTGTTTGTAATAGCCATCAGTTCACTTTATTTGACTAAATGTTGAATTCCTTTTAAATCTTTAGCATGCCTTACAGAAAAAGTTATTTCTACTTGTGTGTGTATATGTGTATATGTATAGGTGTATGTATTTATGTATAGATAGATAAAATATATAGTCTTTAGACAACTTTCTCTTAGAGATTCTTTGCTGTACTATATTGTGTTCAACTCAGGTGCCAAAGGAGCTCTCTTCTTATGGACATGTAAATATACATTTAAATTCTTTAAGAAATAGTTTGTTGGTTCAATAAACTAGCCGTTGCAGAAGCTAAATTGGGCTCTTGTATATCTAAAACTGATGAGTTTTTTCTAAATTGTAGATTGTCTAGTTATTTGCCTTCCATATTAAGCTAATGCAGGTAAAATTTAGCAAGCCATTGGTGAAAGAGGATTTTTACAAAAGATCATATTTTATTTTTAAATTTCTAGAGGAATTATGCCATAGTAAAAATTAAAAATAAAAAAATGTTTGAATTTTAAATTATAAGCTGATTCTTAAAAAATATTTTATGCCAGCTTTCTTTTAATATGAAGAATCTTAAAATAGTTCATCTGCTGCCCCTTAGTTACTAGAATACACAGAGTTGTAAATTTCCATACCTTTTTTCCTAGCAATTTTTATTATAAAAACGCAACAAGGAGTTGCACAAACAGCATACAAATTCAGTTTTTTTCATAAAGGTTAATTTAAATATTTTCACTGTTTGAAATGTGAAAATAAATTAAACCAGTATTTAGGGAGAACTTGTTGACAAATGACTCAATTCTTATTCTTTTTCTCCCAAGATTGAAAACAAATATCAAAAGTAGATGATGTATCTCATTAAAGCAGGAATCTTAGCCCCTCTGAGGTGACCAGATGTCAGTAATGCTTAAACACATCTGAAAATTAATGTTAAATTGTGGTGTGTTTATAAAGTTTAATAACTTTGCTTTTTGGACAGATAGGATTAAAAAATAAAGTACAGATGACAGTTATAATTGTCATTTTAATTTTTTCCCCACGGTCAAGTTAACTCTGAGCAGTAAATTTATAGGGGCACTTTAAAGAAGTAAGCAGTATGTGTTCTACAGTCTGTAATGAGATTAGGCGCCTGTCCCAGAAGGTACATCAAAACATTGCTTCCTTTAAAGAAAGTCTTGTTATAAAAAGTCAGCTGATTAATGATATAGTTCATTTTTATTCTGGCACAAGTTTTTTCTTTCATTTGGGATGGGTTGCTAATAGCTCATGGACCAGAATTTGAATAGCTTTGCTCTAAACAACATTTATAAATTGATATCTTATAACTGTTTACATTTCTTCTGTTTATTTTTGAATTTAGATTTTTATATCTGTCTTGGAAACTTGTCTTTATTTGTTGTTGTGTAAACAATTGTTCTTTAATTTCAAATTGTATTAAAATTAAGTTATCTGACTTCCAATTTGGAGAATTATTATCAATTTAGAATTTTATAAGACTTTAAAGAAGTTTAAATTCTAATTGTAAATTTCACACAAATGACAATTGCCCATCTTAACTTTCATTAAATAACTGTGTTGCTTAAGCATACTGACTGACATTATTATAAATACTTCAGAAAAAAAGTATATATATATATCAACTTGATCCTTTTGGTTAAAATTAAAAAGTGCTTTTTTACATTTGTGACTGTCTTTTGCTTTAAAGTATTTCTGAGTTTGTTAAGCAAACTTCCTTGCCTGGAGGTCCGAGCCTTGACACATGTCATTTTTGAACTCCTTTCCAGTACATATGTGTTTACTAGATCCTGTCTGTTAAAAAGCCACGTAAATTTGAAAATAAGTCTATTCTCTGGTAATAACTAGATACTTTCAGAAAATGTTAGTAAGTGGCAGTGTACTACATGTTGCATTATGATGAATAAGGGATTTTTATTTACCCAGAAATGGGTGAACTGTTTCTGTTGTGTCTTTGTTTTTAGTTTAAATAAATTAAATTAAATTAAATTAATTGACTTTTTAAAAAAGATGAATAAGGGATTCTTTAAGAAATGTATAATCTGATTATGTACTAAGGTACAATCACATCACTTACTGTAGTTCTATTCCAGTGAATACTAACACATTGTAGGTTTTTATTTAAAAGGATCTTATTTAATATATACTGTTGATTCATTAACATTGACTTCACACCAGCAGCACTATAACTCATACCTGAATGAAGCTCATCTAATAACACATAAGGCACATTGCAGCCCTGTGCTTATAGGAACATAACTACAGAGAACTTCAAAATTGTGATTTGGGACATTTTAAATACCAACAAAAAGCCCCAAAATGCAGAAGGCATGACACTAAATAGACTAGAAAATGGACATTTGTCTTACAGTTTGAGAGTTGAAATAAGAGCATCACTTTGCTCACCCTGAGATGGAAACGCGTGTCAGGCATCTCAAATTTTTTACCACTTTGGTCATGTCTCCAAATGATTGTGAAAGTACTGTGCATGTTAATTTGGGGTTACAAATACATTTTAGCAAGGTATGTGTGTAAGTATGTATGTTTAGCAAGTATGTAAGTTCACAAATATGGAGTTCATGAATAAAGAGGGTCAACTCTACATTGCTAAAATCATCACATAAAAAGTATGAAGTGTGATAAGAGAGAAATGTTGTGCAGAACTTGAGTCTGAGGAAGGAAAAATTGATGTGTTGGAACTTTTTAAATTGTGAGCACTTTCTTTTCAAGTTCCATGTTTTCTTTTTCTGACACAATGGCATTCCCAAACTTTTCTCTTTAGCCCCTTTTTCCTCCTGGACACTGAAGTTATACATATTATCCTTATTTGGGTGTAAGAATACTCAAATATAGAATAGCTCTAAGTAAAATGATCATATACTCCCTTTCTGTATCACCTCCTCACCCAAACTAATTGGCTTCCTGTTACCTCCCTTAGTTAACACAGCACTGTTTACTCACACATCACAACTGGATATCTCTAGGTGTCATTCTAAAAATTTTGTTTCCTTACTGCACCTCTTCTAAGAGTCATTAATTTCTATCAATAAAGTCTTTTTATATATCTTACACTTATTTTCTCTTGATTCTCACTGGTGTTCTTTCATCTAGATCTAGATTGAGTAGGTCATCTAGAAAGAGGTCAGCAAACTTTTTCTAAAAAGGGCCAATTATTAAATACTGTAGGTTTGGGTCGCCTGGGTGGCTCAGTCAGTTGAGCATCCAACTTCGGTTCAGGTCATGATCTCACAGTTCGTGAGTCCAAGCCCTGTGTTGGGCTTTGTGCTGACAGCTCAGAGCCTGGAGCCTGCTTCCAATCCTGTGTCTTCCATTTCTGTGTCTGTCTCTGCCCCTCCCCTACTCACCCCCTGTCTCTCTGTCTCTCAAAAATAAATGTTAAAAAAAAAATACTGTAGGCTTTGCAGGCTGGTGTCTTGTCACAACTAGTCAATTTTGCTCTTAGAGCATGCAAACAGCCATGAACAATATGCAAGCAAATGGCTGTGGCAGTAAAACTTCATTTGTAAAAACATGATGGGCAACATTTAGTTTGTTGACCCCAATCTAGATTATCATACTAATTCTCTTAGCTCTAGAATGATTAAAATGAGAGTAGAGCCAGAAAGACACAGGGAAGTGAGCCTTGTTGGCACTCACTTTGTCTAGCAGATACCCAAGAGGAAGAAGACTGAGTAGTCATTGGATATAATGAATTTTCTAGAAAGGTAAGTTTGCAACTAGCTGAGAAAATAGAAAGTAGAGACCACGGGTATTTTTGGTCTTCCAAGAAATCTAGGGGGAAGGGAGGAGAACAATAGCTTGAAACGTATTTTTAAAAATGTTTTAAGATGGGGAAGACTTAAAGACGTTGATAGGCAAAGGAGAGAAGTCTACATGGAGGCAACAGTTGAACTGCATAAGAGTGCAAGATGATTGATGATACAAAATGACAGAGAAAGTGATGAGATCACAAGCACAAATGCAAGGGTCAACTTTGACTAGAATAAAAACTGTCTCCCAACAAAAAACGAAGAAAAAGAAAATGGGTGACAATAGAGGTGTGAAGGGACAGGATAATCTATTTCTGCAGTCTTCTGCAGAAGACTGAAGCTAGTGGTCTGCTGAGAGTAAAGGAAATAGAGGTGGGTGTGGTAGGAAGAGTAAAAATTTGGCGAAAGGTGAGGACAGAGTT